TTTTACCTACGTGACTTTACCGAAAAAACCTAAGAATATGAATCCTTGCAGTCACGAAAGCTTCAAATCTAGAAAGAACACTGCTCTGGAGGGTACTTTATCGTCATGTTCCACAATGAGGCAGACATGTTTAGAAGAGGTCAGAGTCCCCACACTCTACCGCCATCACACACGTGGCCTGCCAATTGCCTGTGGCGTGCCCATTTACACTGCTGGATTTAAGGAACTTGCACCGTTGTTTCAGCTGTCGCGCCAAGAGATGGAGTAGAACCAGCGACCTCTTAGTTGCAAGTCCAGTCTGCTGACCATTACGGCACGGCAGCATCCCGCAATGAGAATTGGCAATAGAGAAGAGGTGAGGCTTTAATAGAGGAATGGATAAAGGTTAAGAAGCGGCATTGCTTAATGTACAAGGGCAGTGCTGAGTCTATGGGCAGTGTTGAGTCTATGGGCAGTGTTGAGTCTATGGACAGTGCTGATATTCTTAGGTTTTTTCGGTAAAGTCACGTAGGTAAAACATATAAAAAAACCCTAAGAATATGAATCCTTGCAGTCACGAAAGCTTCACATTTAGGACAGTGCTGAGTCTATAGGCAGTGCTGAGTCTATCGGCAGTGTTGAGTCTATGGGCAGTGTTGAGTCTATAGTGCAGTGCTGAGTCTATGGGCAGTGCTGAGTCTATGGGCAGTGTTGAGTCTATGGGCAGTGCTGAGTCTATGGGCAGAGCTGAGTCTATGGGCAGTGCTGAGTCTATGGGCAGTGTTGAGTCTATGGGCAGTGCTGAGTCTATAGGCAGAGCTGAGTCTATGGGCAGTGCTGAGTCTATGGGCAGTGCTGAGTCTATGGGCAGAGCTGAGTCTATGGGCAGTGTTGAGTCTATGGGCAGTGCTGAGTCTATGGGCAGTGTTGAGTCTATGGGCAGTGCTGAGTCTATGGGCAGTGCTGAGCCTATAGGCAGGGCTGAGTCTATGGGCAGTGCTGAGTCTATGGGCAGTGCTGAGTCTATGGGCAGAGCTGAGTCTATGGGCAGTGTTGAGTCTATGGGCAGTGCTGAGTCTATGGGCAGTGTTGAGTCTATGGGCAGTGCTGAGTCTATGTGCAGTGTTGAGTCTATGGGCAGAGCTGAGTCTATGGGCAGTGGTGAGTCTATGGGCAGTGTTGAGTCTATGGGCAGTGCTGAATCTATGGGCAGTGTTGAGTTTATGGGCAGTGCTGAGTCTATGGGCAGTGCTGAGTCTATGTGCAGTGTTGAGTCTATGGGCAGAGCTGAGTCTATGGGCAGTGTTGAGTCTATGGGCAGTGCTGAGTCTATGGGCAGTGCTGAGTCTATGGGCAGTGCTGAGTCTATGGGCAGTGCTGAGTCTATGGGCAGAGCTGAGTCTATGGGCAGTGTTGAGTCTATGTGCAGTGCTGAGTCTATGGGCAGTGTTGAGTCTATGGGCAGTGCTGAGTCTATGTGCAGTGTTGAGTCTATGGGCAGAGCTGAGTCTATGGGCAGTGCTGAGTCTATGTGCAGTGTTGAGTCTATGGGCAGAGCTGAGTCTATGGGCAGTGTTGAGTCTATGGGCAGTGCTGAGTCTATGGGCAGTCTTGAATTTTTGGTGCAGTGCTGCTCAATGTACAGGCCGAGTTGATTACAGTGGAGCGGTGCAAGGAGGGGGAAGAACCGAAAACGGGATTGAGAGAGACAGAGAGAAGACTGAAGAGGATGAGAGGGGGGGGGGCATGAAATGAGATGAGAGAGGCAGGTTGAGGTGGGACAAGGCCGTGGCGAGATTTGCAGACGAGCATCAGTCATTTGACAAAACAGCGGTGCAGTTAACGAGAAGCCTGTGGGGTTGAAGGGGGAGAGGCGAGGTGTGAAAAATGCATTGCCTAGGGCAGGGAAATTCAGCATTAGCGGTGGATAAAAATACACCCATTTCTGCAACGCGCTTTCCAGCAGCACGCCGATAACGAGTGCGGAACAATTCTGCGTGGGTGAATGCAAAGGGGACCGAGATTCAGATGTACATTACGTTCCCAGTGCATCTCTACCCTAACAGTAACAAATATGTATTCATATTTAACGCCATATGCAGCTTAAAAGCATCTTCTTTTGATGCAATCAACAGAGCCTCTGTCCTAGAATATGCCAGACTCGTTGTGCCATCAAGTGTTGCTAGCTGTCACCAGTGCTCGTGCTTGCTCTGGCAATGGATGTCAAATTAAAAGCGTGCAAGCAACTAATAAAATATATATATGAGGACTGCGTCAAAAAGGCCGAAAGGGAATGCAGGAGGGAGGAGTGTGGGGCAGTAGTTGGACATCTCCTGTAAGAAGAGCTTCATTGGTCATCGGATTTTTCCAGAATAAATAAAGATTCTAAATTCTGAGTTGGGCTAAGAGGACAGCATGCAATGGTCACGTTGTCATCTTGCCCGATTAACTTTTGCCACAATTGTCTGATTGCGATTGCAGTTCACGTCGTGAACTCGCCGGCTTCGCAAGCCAGCGAGCGCACGGGGTCTCATTTCCTGGACACGCTCATGCGTGTGATGATGCTGTTGATGTTGTGATTTTGTGAAAGTTCCACAACTCTGTTTGCCCGCCTGGCACAAGTCCCTTGCTGACAACCGTGCCTCCAAAATTTACCCGGTGTCTACCAACATGACTTTTTATTTTATTTACACGAAATGCACGGCATTGCATAATAACGTAAAAATATATATATACATGGAAACGCTGTTCCGTCCACAGCGATGAAAGTCGCGGACGCAAACGCAATGGGCACGGTGCAACGGGGCGAAGTGGAAGATAATTTGTGCTGCTGCGCTGCTGGCCCGCACCATGGGCCGTCATCACGTCGCCGCGTGCACCAGGCCTCACGTGTGACGCACCACGCTGCACCGATATGACAGCTCGCGTGTGCAGGCCGACACGGCCTCGCGTGTGATGCTCCACGCTGCACCGATATGACAGCTCGCGTGTGCAGGCCGACACGGCCTCGCGTGTGATGCTCCACGCTCCACCGATATGACAGCTCGCGTGTGCAGGCCGACACGGCCTCGCGTGTGACGCACCACGCTGCACCGATATGACAGCTCGCGTGTGCAGGCCGACACGGCCTCGCGTGTGATGCTCCACGCTGCACCGATATGACAGCTCGCGTGTGCAGGCCGACACGGCCTCGCGTGTGACGCACCACGCTGCACCGATATGACAGCTCGCGTGTGACGCACCACGCTGCATGATATGACAGCTCGCGTGTGCAGGCCGACACGGCCTTGCGTCACGTGCGGAATACAGAGAGCACAATATGAGAAGGAGAAGAAAGAGCACCAAACCTTTCTAAATTGACAGCTCTCATCTGACAATGGGAATTCACTTGCTGCGTTCACTCAATTATTTATTTGTTGACATATCAAAAAAGCGAATTGTAATTGAGCATTGTGCCTCTGTTTTTTATGTTTGCAAATAATAAATGGACAAATGATAATAAACATTTAACGATGTATTGATTCACCGAATGGAATTTATCATTATACTCAGGGTGCATGCATCAAATCGTATGTGTTTAAATGTATTATTTATGCAAATTGTATTTAAAATTATAAGCTCGTGTTGCGTTTTTGGTAAAACGGTGGACAGAACTGCACCAACGGTACAGAATTCTTATTTTTTTAAACATGCGAGTGAAATGATAAATAAGAGACAACAAAATACTTGAATCGTGACGCTGAACCATGACACTGCGACTAATAGTTTTGGGGCTGAATTGTTGCATGGCTAAAAAAATAGTACACGGGGAAAACTGCAAAAAACACCACGAACCAGCCATTTTTGGAAAAAAGGAAATTGCATTATTTAAATTGTATCTATGTATGTTGAACTTCTTTCGCATCGTACATAGCCAACCATGCTAATCGAAGGTTCGGGGGAAGGACAACAAACTAAACACTAAAAGCAGTTCTAAAAAAATTAGTTTCAAATTTCGATCATTAATAAGTGCATATCTCCGGTGGTACAATATCGGAAGAGCTTTCCAGACGGCCGCAGAAGGGCATCCGAATGCATGTGACGCAGTGACCGTCTTTGCCGTTGCTCGTTGTATTTGAAAATTGTCAGTTTTAATGAGGATAGAGTGCCGCCTTAGATTAATTTACCATATCTAATTAAACCTACGCATTTTTCAATGTGTCACGTGTGCATGGTGCCTTTCTGTAATGTATATTTATAGGTAGTGGGGGAAGTAGCCCTTCAATACGGGGCATGTATTGATTACGTGGTTTATTTTTTAGTCATGGATTACTGAACATTTGCTTTGCCTATGTGGGTTATTTAAACAAGGGGGTTGATGGGCCGATTATCAAGAATAGTGGTGCAGGCGTGGTAGCCAAAGGAATGGAAAGGATGTCACCGATCGAGCCGGGGCAATGAACTCAGGTCGTGTGTGAGTGCTGCGCGAGAGATGGTGGTGGCATTTTGGAAAGGACTTTATCCAGCAGTGGATTAACCATGGCTGCAGATGATGATGACAGTGGTATAGGAAATGAAAGCATGGGTTTATGAAGACGGCTGCCTCGACAATCAAATGGCTATCTTTCGATGGTGCTCAATTCCAATGGAAGTATTCAGCCAGTGGAGAAAATTCCACATTCCTATGCTGGAAACCAGTTTTTTTCCCCCGGTTGAGCATATATTGTCTTCCATCATCATCATTTCTGTGTATTTAAACGATACCTTGCATGCAGTACATCTCGAAGTGCCGGAGCAAGTAGGCCTACTACTTGCGTGGGTCAGTGAGCTTCCTGCTCAACCCGACAGAATGTCCTCTTGTTGACTGATATATTCAAGTCTGCTTTGAAGACCCATCTCTCTAAAGTGGCATTCCCGCTTTAGTTTGTTCGATTGCCCCTGTTTTTGTTTTCGTTTCCTGCTTTTCATGTATTGCGAATTGGGATCCTAGGATGCAATGCCCATGATACATTTGATTTTTTTTATCATCACTCCGGTCGCAGGTGTGGGTCGATGCTGGCACGCAGATCTTCTTCTCCTACGCCATCTGCCTGGGCTGCCTGACCGCGTTGGGAAGCTACAACCACTACAATAACAACTGCTACAAGTGGGTCGCCGCTGCAAACCGGCGCGCAAACACGCTTCACACGTGCCACCCGAGGTGTTGGTGTCGAGTCTTCAGAGCCAGTTTGCGTCAACCTTGCCAAAAACACGCCGGTCCACAGCGAACGCCGTCGTGCGAATATAGTAGGCACACTGTTGAAGAATTTTGTGGTTTGTGTTTCGAGGAAAGCGGTGGAATTAAAAGAAAAAAAACAAGCCTGCATGGAAGCATTTAGAGATAGAATTTCTACGAAACGAATGTTTATCAGCATGTTAAAAGAGACTGGCTGTACTATATAAAATTGAATCACGTGCGCATGTCTTTCAGCGTACCTAAATGTACGCACATGGATATGCACGTGCAGTGGCTACACGTGTGTGGTGGTTCACTTATGTTAACGAAATGGGTTTCAATTCCTGGTACAACACGCAATGATTCATGCCCCTCCTCCACCACCAATTTGGGAATTGCCACAAATCTGGGTCACAAATAGATTCCATCTCTGTTCCACATGAGGCATTGTGAGTGATCATTACTCCATCTCCAGGGGGTCGTCCCCTTGGGCGTATTCCCACCTTTGGCTACTACTCCGCCATTCGGCCCAACCTGCCCAGGCCCGCTTTCTAATCTCAGCAGTCAATGCGATGTCTTCGACTTGCATACGCTCTGCGATTGATGATGTATACGTATGTATGCTGTGATTTATTTCGCACTGTACGTAGCCAGCTGTGCTAATCGGAGTCGCCGGAGAAGGATAATAAACGAAACACAAAAATCAGTTCTTAATAAATTAGTTTGTAAATCTAGATGATTTAAAAAGCGCATCGCTCCAGTGGCTTCCTAATATTCGGATGGAAGAGCGTTCCAGACGGCCGCAGAAGCGCATCCGGTGCATGACACACGCGAGAGTGATTGTGAGTGAACGTGCCGTGCCCCGTGACCCAGGCGGGATCTCCCCCTTGCAGGGACTGCGTCATGCTCTGCTGCCTCAATAGCGGCACCAGCTTCGTGGCGGGGTTCGCGATATTCTCCATCCTGGGCTTCATGGCGTACGAGCAGAACGTGCCGATTGCCGAAGTGGCCGAGTCCGGTAAGGTCCCTGGAGAGGCCGGGGGTCAGGGACAGGGTTAGAGGTCACAAGGATGGGGAGCAAGGGGATGCAGGAGGAGAGAGGGCATTGTTGTGGAAGTTCATGTTGTTTACAACGAGCAGATGGAACAAAACATAAGTCGAACATATTCCGATTTAAAGCTTTCGTGACTGCAGGGATTCATCTTCCTGGTTCTTTCGGTAAAGTCAGGTGAAGAACAGGTCTGTCGGGGAGACAGCGTCTGACAGACGTGGTCTTCACCTGAGGACGGCTGCTTGCGTTGTGGCCGAAACGTCGTGAGAATTATTTTACTATGTTTTAATTTTATTATTTTATTACTTCCCTTCTACGTGACTTTACCGAAAGAACCAAGAAGTCGAACATATTCGTCAACAACGCCGTCTTGGGTGTTTTTTTTATTGTTTTTTATTTCAACTCTACGCAAGCCCCGGTACAGAGCAACGATCACAGAACAAGAAATGTTGGGGGGGATGGGGGGGTGGGCGCAGAAATTCCTTGAACAAGTCCGAGATCGGCGCGGGAGGGCTTGGTGAAGGTGGGATGGGGTAGAAAGGCCTCACTGCCCCACCCAGGTGAGGGGGGGGGGGGCTCTAGCAGAGAAGTGAAAGTTTATATAGCGAGGAGGAGGGTGACTGCGGGACTGCCTTGGATGTTAGACGTGAACATGGACAAAGTTCAGAGTTCTTCATTGCAAGGCCCGCAGGCCACTAGCGGCCCCTGGTGGCCTTTCGTGCAACCCCTGACGTAAACGGTGAAAACACCCCCCACCATCATCATCGTCATCGTCGTGCTGCCAAAGCCAGCAATGGTTTTAAGTGTGTGGCGGCCCTCACACTGGTGATGTCTCATCGGCAAAAGTGCCCTCCCGCCCACCTCTGAAAATCGATGAAGAACACTGACATATACTGTGCCATCCTTGCTGGATAAGGGCCATCCCCAACGCACAGCTTGGTATCGTTAAGGGGTTTTCCTTTTTTAAATCCTTTATATTAAGTTCACTTGCTTGCTTGCTTGCGCGCTTACGACCGTGCAAATCTTTCGGTCGTTTTTTAACCCACTTGCCGTGATCCAATCGAGCTGACATTTTGCACACAGACTCGTTGTGCGTGACAATTTATTTTCGTGAAAATTTTTTTCCAAAATTTTACACTTTTTAGGAAAAAATAAATTATATTTAATTACCAATTGGTTAATGGTGGCAGGCAATCATCTGACCCATAGGTGGCAGCCATATCAAGCCAGAGGACGAGAGGACTCTAGCCACCACGCATATAAAGGATTTATAGTGAAAAACTTTGTTTTTACCGGTTAATTTTTTCCCACTCGCGTGGCCTGGCCCCACCGGTTCACGAGGACGAGCCGCCCCTGACGAGATTCGTATCGTTAATACCCTGATAGCCGTTGCTCATTTAATTTGTCTTAAATTACGAGGAAAATGTGAGTGAAATTACCAACTCGCTGATTTAATTTATTGTAAAATTAAATTGCTAATTCATTAAATTAACGCTTTGTGAAATATTTTCCTGGAGTAATTCACAGTGTGGCGATATGTCGCCATCAATTTCACAGTTTTGTGCAATAAACTTCAATAATTTTTAGTGTAACAGATAGCGTGTGTGCCTACAATCGCTACAAATTGTAAAGTTGTGATTATTTAGAAAAGGCAGACTCAAATTGACTGAACTGCAATTGAAGAACGTTTAAGTGACCTTTATTTGTACTGGAATTAACACTGCAATCAAACGGATACAATAATGTACGTTGATTACCATTTGAATAACCTAACCGGCAATGGATACCCATTTAAATTTATATGCATTCATTAATCCCCCTTCGCACAAGAAGGGCTCACAAGTAAGGTGATCACATAGTTAAGGAATGAAACAGGATGAGGATTTCGCCTCAAATCTGTCTGTCTCCTGATGATGCTGGTTGTAATTACTGGCGAAACGTCATACTCAGATTGTAAATGTTGTGGATATGCTCTCCAACACACCGGTGTGCTGTACTAGTGGCGAATTGCCACGTTCTGTTTACGTGAAAAACATTACTAGTTGGCTGTCGGGTGGTGGCGACACCTTTATTATGGAGGATACAATAAAAATGTGCAAAACCATTAACAAAGCTGTGGGAAACCGATATCGCGACAAACGTCACATCGTGAAAAAATATATCAAGGCAAACCTAGTTTGTAACTATTTGACTATTTTTATTTTACCACGCAAATCCCACTGAGCCATGTAGCTCTTTCTTAGAAGTGACCTGGCCACAAATGATAACTCAACGAAGTGGCTTATCACGTGGAAATGTATAGCAGTAGCCTAACGCTCTAAGCTCACGTTTGTTTCTAAATGAGGGCAATTATCAGTGAGAGCGCAGTGCTTAGGTGGGTGCCGTGGTGTAACGCCGGCCCCTTCAGAAGGCCGTTTGCTCCATGGGTTTACGCTACAGATGCTCAGTTGCAGAGCTTTGCGCAACATCAATTATTGTGAAACTTGCCACTGGCGCCGGCTGGGCTATAGCTGGGTGTGAGATTTAATTCACTGCAACCCGAGTGGCCTTGCTAGGTCGGCTGTAGGACATTGGACATTGAGAGCCCTGCTGAATGAGGGCCCCCTCATGGGGGTATATTTATTTGACCACGACACATTGGCCTGGCACAAAGAGCCGTGGTGACATCGCCGCCACTTGGTGGCAAATTTGCTGTTGGTGTTGTTATATTTCACCATACTTCACCAGGCTGGTCAGTGCGGTTTGGTGAAGGTGCTGAATGAAAACCATCCCACACATGTTCATTCTAGCATTTTCTCTTACATACTTCACCAGAGTGGTCAGTGTGGATTGGTGAAAGTTTGGGTGGGCCCATGACTGATTAGAATAACACTTTCCATTGATTGACAACGGGCTATGCAGGTACCTTTTTGAAGCAGGTATGTGAAGCTCTTTTGGCTTCCAAGATACCCCAGCTGAATATGGAACATTTGAAGGCCACATTTTCAACCAACTGGAACAGTGCAGCTCTCCCCAATGTTTTTTTTCGGGTTCTACAGCGGATTGTTCAACCTAACGCCCGACGTTGTTCTCCATGTGCTGAGAACTTCTTCATGGTTATTCAGCCCAGTGTGTTCACAGATGTAAACTACTCCAAATATGCTCTCAGCGCGTGTGGAGCAAAATGTTGCACGTCAAAAATCGAACTCGGTGAGGAAGGTCCAAGCACGTGGAGCGAAACGTTGGACATGGCACCGGGCAGCGTGACCCGAAAACGCATCGGCGAGCTGCAAAGCACAACCGCAAAAACCAACCCAGTAGCGTAACTCTGACCATGCCACGTCTCTAAACAGAACCTCTTACAAGCCGGCCTCGCTCTTTGAAGCCAGACCAGCGGGCGAGCATACTTTATTGATGGTAATAATGTAATGAATGAGTCATTAGGATGTTGCATGTCCACAAAATAACCGCGTGGCGTAAATGCCTCCGCCAATCCTCGCGTTCTCAGACCGCGCAGCGCATCGGGCGAGAACAGCTTCTCACGGAGGGTCTTGAACGATGCTTGCGGTTCCAGCCTGAGGACGAGCAGAGGGCCCCTTATGCTTTTGAGCGAAACGCAAAACTTTCGCAGGACGTCCAGGCACGGGCTGCTTTCCGCTGCGCCGCGGTTGATTTAAGCGTCGTGCTCCTCCGATATCTTTGACCCCCCCCCCGCGCACGGCACCCATCGCCTTTGTAGAAACATGAAAGCGTGCACGTCCGTCGGTTATCATCGCCACGTGCGCGGGGGGGGGGGGGGGGGGGCTACGCGCAGGAAGAACCGGTTGGAAGTCCTTTGATGCGTCGACTTTTTTTTATTTTGTCCGTTTTGCAAATGTAAACCAGACGTTGTTGTCCTTGCTGCTGCTGCCACTGCCGCTGCTGCTCATTTCGTTAAGCGAGCTGTGTTCGATCATCCTAAGTGCCCCCCGCTGCTAATTGAAGAGGGCCTACTGCTCTGGGTTCCTGCAGGCAGATGGGCAGAGACCCTCCTAGCCCTTGGAGAGTGCCTAATCTTCGCTGGGAATCTAATTAATTTGTGGATTATAATGTTCGTATTACGCGCAAAAAGACAAGCGAGGAAAAATTGCGGAAAAGCATTCTAACGTGCGTGTGACTTTGGGAGTATTTTAACGAGTGGCATGGAAGCTGACTGGCAACAACTGTCAGGGCAAAACATGTCGCATAATTGCAAATGGTTCTTTAAAAACTGGGTTTGTGTCTTCCACGTTTTGGACAATCCTTTGATCAATGTGTCCGGTTTTCTCCAGGGTGAGTCCCTAACAGCAGTACAATATTTGACTCAAGTTTTGTTGGTATTGGATCATCATTATGAGCGGAATAGTTCTCCACCCTCCTGAATGGACAGAGCTGCTGCATCAAAAGCTTTTTACCTGAGTTGGAAAGCATTAATATTTTTGAAATGCTTGTTAATCCACTGTCCATGCCGTGTTGATTAATTTGGCCATACTTCACCACGCTGGCCATTGCGGGTATGAGAAGGTAGTGGGGGGTACAGTGGGGGGGGGGGGGGGGGTCACTGGACTGATTCAGATATCACTTACCACCGCCGGGAATCTTAACCATGTTTTCCAAGTTCATGGTGCACTGCGTCAAACACCGTGCCACCGCTCCCCGCCAATGTGCGTACATACAGGACTTAACAAAAACATTCATCGAGGCACAATTTTCAAAACAACAGAGGGGATTTAATGAACGATGTTAAATGTGCGGCTAAATAGAGACACTTCTTTATGAAGCTAATGTCAGCGGTGCGAGCCTATCACACTGCGGAAACCACACGTGTCATCATTCACTCCTCTCCCCCGCCACCTCCTCACGAACCCGGCTAATCGGCACGATTTGAGACCCCAATTCAATTCAAGAATCGCATTTTCGCGGTCGCAGGGTTTCCGTGACCCCAGGATTTCATTTCATAATTCCGTGTGAGCCACCAACCCCTTGCGTCTGTCAGTTGCAAGCTCGTGAGTACACAAGGGAGGGCTCATTAAATTTCGATTTAAAGCTTTCGTGACTGCAGGGATTCACATATAATGGATTATTTTTATTATTTTATTATTTCCCTTCTACGTGACTTTACCAAAAGAACCAAGAAGAGGAGGGCTCATTGTGAATTAAATCAACCAGAGACCCACGGCATTGAAGATAAGATACGAATGACCCATGACCTTTAACCCTTATGAATCCAAATGTGACCCAGGTGGCAGTGTCTGGTGAGTGTCCGGTGAGCGTTAACTGGCGAGTGTCTGGTAACACGACTATCGGTGTCACGTTCGAGTGTCACGTTCGGTGTTTAGTGCAGGTTCAGGTCGAGGGTCAGATGAGTGTCAAGTCAATACTGTCTGTAGGACAGGCTGCCCTCTAGTAATAACATATGTGTAATAGTAAACACATAGTGTGTGTTTATATAATTACCATGCACCAATAACTGCTCATGTCTGCCTGGTAAAAAAATATATATGATACAGTGTTCCACAATGGGCTCTCATCTACTTTAAAAGGTCAATGAATTGACAGATCCCGCTGAGCAGCAGCGATTTGTTTTCATCCTCTGCCACGCAGGACCCGGCCTGGCGTTCATCGCTTACCCCAAGGCGGTGACCATGATGCCGTTGTCTCCGCTGTGGGCTGCCCTCTTCTTCTTGATGCTCATCTTCCTGGGTCTCGACAGCCAGGTAACAACGGTGGCATTCCTGCCACCCGCAGTCGTGCGTCTGCCCCGAAGTTTAACGTCGTCGTCGTTACTCTTTGGTTCTTTCGGTAAAGTCACGTAGGTATAAAATAAAATAAATGAAATCACTCCCCCCCCCTCTCTATCTCTCCCCTTTGCTCCTCCCCCCTTTCTTACCTATATAGCCTCTTGTCACGGTAGCCCTTTCGCCCACTTCAGCAATTGTTTCTTGCTGTGGTTGTCCCACCTGATGACTACACTTGTATTGCGCCCGAAACGTCATGATTTAATTTATTTTATTTTATACCTACGTGACTTTACCGAAAGAACCAAAGAGTATGGATCCCTGCAGTCACGAAAACTTCAAATCTAGGTCGTCGTCGTTGCTGCTGATGTTTTTTTGCTCGCTCGTTGGCCCACGCGGCATCGTTAGTGTGGTTCTGAGTAGTCATCCTTCCTCCGAATTCATAACTCTTGTGTTGTCGCAAAACACCCAGTAACTTTGTGATCCGTTAACAAAAAAAATGCACTACCTGCCATGAGCCAGTGTGGTGACGCAGCCCAGTAATGGGCCCCGTCGCCGCATGTCACAGAACTTCAAGGTTCGAATCAAGGTGGCAGCCCTAATTAATACTGCCGGTGTCATTATCCTCATCATAATCCTCATCATCACGATTCATGGGCAGATAGCCCATAGTTGTCCACTGTACACTGTGGGCGTATTTGCGGTAAAAGTACGTGTCGTCTGCTTCACAGTTGGACGTCATTCTCAAGAGTAAGGCCATTGCGTGTCAGATTTACGGTCCAAATTTGACAAGTTTTTTTTTTATCTTACACTGAAAATTACACAATTGCATTATTATCCATAGCCATTATTACCTCCGCCTCCCCCCTACTATTGAAAACACTTGGCAGGACCCTCCTCAAGATGAGTCACGAGACTCAGTGAGGGTTTCCTCGGTAAATATGAGGAGTAGGAATAGTAATGCAATCTCTGATAAATGTTTGAGGATATCGACGTTGAAGTCATCAATTTTTGTTTATTTTATCTGAGTGACTGTTGTTCATTTGCACTGTTTCTGTACAACGTCTTGGGATGCGATCGCATTTAGAAGCTGATATATAAATCTAATTTGTTGTTGTTCAGCTCCATAGCTGATGGATTTTTTTTATTCAAGCCATAAAGAAAAGTCAACCAAATGGCACGTAAATTTCGATCCCATTTAAAGCACGCACTTCCGTGATGCCTGTAAGTCACAGTCAAGCTGAACTTAACGGCACTTAGAATATTAACGGCACATATGGCTGGCATCCTTAAAATGCGCACACAATATTCACGTTAGATCAGCGGTCCCCAACCCTCGGGCCACGGACCTGTACCGGTCCGTGTCCTGTTAGGAACCGGGCCGCACAGCAGCAGGAGGTGAGCGGTGAGTCCGCGCGTGGTCTGCCCCCATTATTTATTATTGACCATTTTCGTCCGCGCCTCTTTCCCAGCACTGCGCACTTGTCTCAGTCACAGTGTTGGTAAGCCCACAAGCTGCTAACCCCTAGTAGCCACAATGAGTAAAAAACAAACGTCGCTGGAGAGCTTCTTTGAAAAGGGGGAAATACCCAATGATGAACCCCCCCTCCCCTGGTCCGTGAAAAAAATTGTCTTCCACGAAACTGTTCCCTGCTGCCAAAAAGGTTGGGGACCGCTGCGTTAGATGGTGCAACTTCAATGCTTCTGTGTTGCAACACATCGTTGCAAATGTGACACGTAGACTCCTACCAAATTGTTAGATGCTGTGGATTGCTCTCCAATATACCGATGTGCTGAAGCAATAATACATTGGCCCGTGGCACATTTATTTGTTTATTTATTTTGGCTGCATCGGGTGGAGGAGGGTGTACGACACACGTGATCAAACCCAAAAACACATACTGTGAAACTGTTGCAAGTTGGTGAAAGTAGTGGCTCACACCTGCTCATGCCTCTCTGTCGCTTGGTGGAAGGGCTTGCACGACACGGAGGTTTGGAGAACCCACACGGAGGGTATTTTGGCCTACTCTTCTATGCCGTTGCATTTTCATGGCAGGGGCCAGTCTAACCGTCGGACAACCACTGTTTGACTTCTCCACAAAGGGATACTCCATTTATCAACCCCCTGGAGGAGGGATGATGATGGGCTGAGTCAACCAATCAACCCCCAACCAGGAAGTGATCTTGCGACCCGCATGCTCTACTACTGAGCCATCTGGCCAGAGCTCAGCAAACGAATATCAAAGAAGTGAAGCATTTATTTTGCAAATCATACGAAAAAAAGGTCACGAAAGCACTGCATATTAATTAGCCTCACGAAGGCAACGTATGTATGTGTATGTATGTTGAACCTCTTTCGCGCCATACGTAGCCAATCGGCGGTGCGGGGGAAAGGACAACAAACTAAACACACACAAAAACGTCAAGTTGGTGGGGCCATTCAGCACGGCCCTCGACTGCTTAGCAAGTTTTCTGCGGAGGGGGGCTGATGTGGGGACGGCAGTGGTGGCTGCAGGGGGGGTGGAGCAGGTAGACTCTAGCCATTGGCTGCTGGCCAGAATCCACGCTGAAGTGGAGAATGCGGAATGCCGCTGTGACCCCCCCCCAGCCAGCCCTGCTCATGCCACAAGCGTACGCAACTGGGGCAGCGGTTGGCCACTTTCGACGCAGTCGACCACCGCAGGTTGGCGGCGGAGGGCAACAGACCCCCGAGCGCTCGCCGCAGCTGCCACTGACCGCCGAGCTCAGGGGTCGGGCAACCCGCGCCCCCCCCCCGAAGCCACGCGCGGCTCTTTAAGGGAACGCTTCGTAGCGTCATCTGTTAAAGGGTCACCGTGCTCGTCAGCGGCGGATGAAGCTGGTGCCGGGGCATGTAGCATGATGTTAGTGGACGAGACTGTCATGACTGACGTGGCATGTATCCAGCTGTCAATAAACAAAGGGTTGTAAATTATTGCTATGATATGATGATATTGACGGGACACAATAATATCACAACATTTCAAATGGCACACTGGGCACTCGTACGCACGCAACCGTCTGCCCACACGCCCCATTGACAAAGACCACGAGCATCCTCTCTGTCTCTCACTCCCTGTCACCCAACTCCCACGGAAGCCTCTTCCCAACTCTCTCGCCTCCACGCGACGATTCACATCCCAACACGCCACAGCCACCGCCCGTCACGCACCCACCGATTGCACTCTCTCCCCGCCTGTCTCGGACACACTCCGACTCCGTTTCCTCCACAGTTCGTGTGCGTCGAGAGCCTGGTGACGGCGCTCACGGACATGTACCCGCACATTTTCCGGGTGGGCAAGAGGAGAGAGCTCCTCCTCTTGGTGGCCGCGATTGTCTTCTACCTCATGGGGCTCATCATGCTGACAGAGGTGCGGTGGAAATTTGCATCCCCCAGCCCTGTGTTGTCTTGTTGTTGTTGTTGTGGCTGCTGCTGTGGTTGTTGTTGTTGTTGTGAATGAGGCGATTTACCACGGCAGTCCGTATCGCAAAACTGAATGTGTCTCTTGAGTCTCGGCCGTGAACACTGAACCCTAAGAATCCATGAGGAACTATAGTCCGGCCCCTTTGAACCTCGGCCATTAACAACTGAACTCTAAGAATCCCGATGGTGCCTTAGTCTGGCTCTGTGAGCCTCGGACATTTGACACATTTTAACAATCGTGTGCGATGTTTCGCTGGAGATTTCAACCAGGTGGTGTTTTTTGTCGTACAAATTTGTCAAATTTCGTTTGTTTTCAACGTTGTGGTTTTACTGATAAACCAGAGCAATTGACATATTTGCACCCACGTGACAACTTTATTTGACTGGCTCTGTCGGGTAGTTGAGGGTTACAGCTCAAAATTTGACATGATACCTACACGATGATCTAACCCAAAAGGAACACATTTTGAATCGTAATATTGGTCTTGAGAGCCTGCGTTTAAAATAAATACGAAAATATTAATCAACTCGCTAAACACAAGAATGTAGTTTCAGTGACAAATGAAATATGGACTCGATGCCAGGATCTCGGCAGGGCGAGCTGCGTGTCTCCGACCCCTGAGCCACCCTGCGACCTCGCATGTTTGAATTTCCAAAACTTAAATGAATGAATTTCGATTTATATCTTTCGTGACTGCAGGGATTCATCTTCTTGGTTCTTTCGGTAAAGTCACGTAGAAGGGAAATAATAAAATAATAAAAATAAAACATAATAGAATAATTCTCACGACGTTTCGGCCACAACGCAAGCAGCCGTCCTCAGGTCGGAAAGACAGCGTCAGATGCTGTCTTTCCGACAGACCTGTTCTTCACCTGAGGACGGCTGCTTGCGTTGTGGCCGAAACGTCGTGAGAATTATTTTATTATGTTTTATTGTTATTATTTTATTATTTCCCTTCTACGTGACTTTACCGAAAGAACCAAGAAGTTAAATGAATGTGCCCATTAATGACTCCAGATTTCCACGACAGCGCACCGAACGGCGAGTCAGTTCGCACCGCGGAGTTGACGGCGACATTGCCGCTTGACCTCGTCCAAAGGGGAGGGAGGTGGACCACGAAAACCAAGGAGGGCACGGCACAGGCGGTGTTTGACAAACGATGAAACAACAAATATAAGTGTCACTGGACCGAAGCGGACGCGCAAGGGCATGTTTTATGTCGGCGGGCGCTCGCCGCAACTGGCAAACGTCGGAGACAACACGGCCACTGGCGTTCAACAGTTCACCGAAATTTCTGACTTGACTGTGAATTTTCGAAAGTCGAGGCTGAACCTTCAGTAGGGTGGTGTTCAGCCCCCTTCAGCCCCATCCCCCCCCCTCCTCCCCAAGTAATGCTACCCGGTTGGTTTGTGGTCTTGATGCCCGCAGTCACGCAGCAATTTCTACGGGAAACCAACAAGCGCACCGTGTGCGCTGCGGAGCTAATGCGCAAGGCCTTGGGATGTAATTTGCGTGTGCATTCACGTCCCCTAATCTCACACGAAATGCTTTAAAAACGTCCCCTTGCCTGAATTGTAAAAAAAATAACCATCTGTAATGAAAGGAGCCAGGTTGCCCAGGCCTGTCTCTACGACGGAGTGAATGCACCACGATTGGCCTTCACCTGCTGTTGCATCGGCGACGGTGAAATTAATTTAACATCCGTCCTCTGTTTGCCGCCGCAGTGGCGATCGCTCAATTTACGCGTTTGCGACAAAGCCTGAACACAATTAACCCAAATGAAAAATCACTTTCCCGTTGCGGCTGCTGTAATTAGATGAGTGTTTTCATTTATCTATCTGTCTGTCTATCTATCATCCCTGCCCCCCCCCCCCCCCCCCGTATTCAGGGAGGCATGTACGTGTTCCAGCTCTTCGACTATTACGCCGCGAGTGGAATGTGCCTCCTCATCGTCGCCTTCTTCGAGTCCGTCTGTATTGGCTGGATTTACGGTACGTGTCGACACCCATTGATGAGATTTCATGTTTTATTTTTTATATATACTTTAACGCGGCAGATGCGTCCCTGAAAAAGGGCCGCGTTCAGGGAAAAATGCGTGGAGCGAGAAGAATGCTCTCTGGTTTCTTTCGGTTAAAGTCTCATAGGTATAAAATTAGATTAAAATAACTCACGACGTTTCGATAGATGGATAGATGATTGCTTGTGTTGCAATCGAAACGCCGTGAGTTATTTTAATTTTATTTTCTACCTACGTGACTTTACCGAAAGAAGCAGAGAGTATGGATTCGTGCAGTCACGAAAGCTTCAAATCTAGCGAGAAGAATGTCCCCGTAAATAATGTAACGAACAAAGTTTGGTCAGATACGATGTACTACTACGCACAAGCAGTCAGATGGCGGGACAAATAACTGAGGGTACACCGCCGCGTTACTGTATCAGTCCACATAGTGTATCGCCGCACCACTCATCAGTGCAGGTGAAGAAAGTAGTTCGTCGTCGACCGCTTAGAAACCGCGTTAATAACGGTGGGCATTTCACGTTATAGCGGCATGCACGTTCAGCATTATAACGAGTTGCACGTTCCATGTTATAACAGGATGCACATTCCGCATTATAATGAGATGCACAGTCTACGTTATAACGGGATGCACATTCCGTGTTTTAACAGATGCACAGTCTACGTTATAACGGGACGCACATTCCGTGTTATAACGGGATGCACATTCTATGTTATAACGGGATGCACATTCCGCTTTACAACGGGATGCACGTTCCGTATTGTGCAAAAAGTGTTCCCGAATAGAAGAACCGCTTTATAGCGAAAACGTGTACCGTGAACGCACGTTAAGCGAGGACTTCCCGCATATATGTTTTTTGTCTCTTTAACTGCGATTCTTAAATATGTTATTGTTAGTTTCAATGTTAGGTTAGAAACACCTTGTCTGTGCTCTCCAGTTGCAGAGTGGGTGAAAAGTTGGCTAAGTTTTGCACAATCCTGGCCAGCCGGCTCCAAAACCGATCTACTACTACCCACGGCAGCCACAGCCAGTGTCCCTTTATACAGAAATCTCGGCAATATATTTGGAATATTTCAAATGCTATAGTACATGGGGAGGGGTTTTATTCCGTGTTTCAAATACCGTATTCTGCCGATTCTAAAATGTAAGTAATGCACACCGCAAACCTTTGGCCCATGTTAAGACAGGCGTATGATTCTAAGTCACAAACATAGCGGCATCATCGAGCAATTGCCACTTACAGGAGTTCATTTCTGTCAAACTACCAGCGACACGTGGCAGCGAATTGATGAATGTTTGCGGATTGCCCTCCAATGTCGCGGTGTGCCCAAGCAACAATTATCAGCGCATTAGTTCATTACATGAAGGCTATATTTATTTATCTGTGTCAGGTAGTGGAGGGTGTACGACACACATTGACACTGCGCTCACATGGCTATCTGACCCGAGCATCAATTACGAATCAGACGAGGGTCTATTTAACAATTTGGAACAAAGACACACACAGTGGTAATAGTAATAGGTGTTTACCCTTTTAACTGGTACAAAATCTGACACCTTTATACAAGGCATCATGTTTGCAATAATCTCAACACAAGAAGTCAAAATGCAAACAAAAAGCAACAACTCTGATGATGATAATGATATGCACTGTCCTTGAAGTTGATTGGTCCACACCCGAGACAGCTTTCTTTAGAGCCTAGTCTCCATTGGTGTTGGATCAGATGACGCCAAAAGGCATACAACTCAAAGACAGCGCACTATCAGAGTATTGAGAGCTCGGGGTAAGCATTTTTTTAAAGGGTAAAAACCTATTACTATATTTCGCCACTGGTAAAGGATGTCTCATAGTGTAAATACACACACAGTGCTCTGTTAACTGCGTTGCAATTGGAAGAGACCATGCTACCGACATCATGAACTTTCTTCACGCATTGCCGAGCAATGTAGCACTTACACAAAACGGTGACGAAGTGAGCTGTTCATAATTCCTGACGGCTAATTAAAAACTGCAGATATATAACTGTCCTGGATACTTCCGCTCGAGCAATTAGCAAATTGCCTGGGCTAGTGTTTACAATGCTGGACACACGTGGCCTCGAAGTTCAACGTCTCATCTTGTACCAGAGCCAGTTTGAATGAAGCCGACAGTTAATTTCCTTCATTCTGCCCCGGTAATTTCTCGAGGGGTTTGCCTGCGAATGCGGTTTCCTGCAAAGCGGACACCAGAGATCAGTCTGAGATCATACGCCAGACTTGGCGATTGTGCGTCGCATGTGAAAATTACTTCAGGCGTAATTATATCAAGAATACTGTCATGATAGTGTATCTACATGTAACGACAGTTACCCTGATCTCCCTCACAAGAAGTACAATTTTGCGATGCAATATGAATGTACGTAGCACCTGAATGCAACTGCAGTTCCATGCTGCTGTAGAAATTGCCTGGGAGATCCCAATGGAAATGCAAACTGGTGAAAGGACAGTGACGAACTGACTGACTCACCTGCCTGACTAATGCCCTGACCACTGTGACTGACTGATGTGACCGACGTACTGACTGACTGACTGAACGACTGTCAGTTACCCCAGCTAATCAGATTGTAACTAACGGAGAGCCTTCTGAACTTACGTATTTGGTGTCAGACCTCCACATATGCCCGAGATACAGATGCAACGTCTGTATAATTTTAGTCGTATTGTATAATTGAAAGCGGGCAGACGCCTGCCTCGTCATTTGAGTACAGGTTAGGGCCTACCTTTGATTGCGTTTGGGCGCATGCACGGCTAAATTTCATCTGGGTCTGTGTGGATAGGAGAACCTGAAAATTATATCGACGCGTAGTGTACTGCCTAATCCAGGCCAGGCCTCTCCTCTACGGTCCGGTCTCTGGAACTGCCCTCGCAGACAAGCACCCTAGAAAATATCGGGTGGAGACATTCAGCCGTGGGCCTGGGGCACTCAAATGAACCCACAGACCTGTCAGTCAAATGCTTTTTCAGCACTCCTTAACGTCACGCGTGTTGCATTCACTTGTTTACGGTGCACGCATCCTTCATGCAAACGAACAGATTTTGGCTTAAATAGCCCAGAGCAGGCATTTCAGTTTGCCATCTATGGATGCTGCTTCTACGACTACTACGAGGTCGGTTTTTGTGTTCACGCTGAATATCTGTACCCTGGCGTTGTTCGGCACGGTGTCCGACGTTGGACATCGTGCCGAACAGCGCGCAGTACGGCCCACCGGGAGAGTGACCGCCTCTGAGTTGCAGCGAAGTCTGGCAGCCGCGATGTTTGATTGGGTGATCCATGCGAGGCGGTGGATGATGCGAGGCCTGCCTTTTTTCTCTGCAGGAGGCGACCGCTTTTACGACAACATAGAGGACATGATTGGTTACCGACCATGGCCGTGGGTGAAATGGTGCTGGATGTTCATCACGCCTGGGATCTGCGCAGTAAGTGCTCGAACCTTCTGGGAAAGAAATACCCAACGTGTGCTCGCAACGAAGACTCACGCACGCAGCACATTAAACATTCATGTGCTGTGTGTATGTGTCCGTGGCGTGTTGATCTTTATTTTAGATTTTTTGTTGGAGGGGCTGTGTTTTTGTTTCGGATCGCTGCTTTTATTTATGTTTGTTTACTTTTGTATGCGATCGTTCAAAATGCACAACATTGCAAAGCTGTCTTGCGGTACTGATGTTATCTGCTCCCTTCCCCCAAATTGTATTCCAATTTTGCGATAGGCATCATATCAAAAGATAAAGTGGCCAGTCGCTAGTTTTGCGAACCAGTGCATCATGTGTTAAGAGTACGGCTTGCTGAAAGCATATATCACAGAAGTACTTTCTGGAAACCATTTATTGATCGAGAGATTTTATTTTACTCAGTGAAAACCCATTGAGACTTAAAGGTGTTGTTTTTCAAGTAGTGACCTGAGTCTTCCAAATAACAACTAATACAGTGCAATACTCGCTTAGATTACGTTGACAAACCAAGAAAATTGAAATAATAGGTAATTGCACACCAAAATCAAACAGCCAAAACAATCTCAAATGACGCAAAGCTAATAATAAAATCTTAACATCGGTGAAAAACCCAAACAAGAAACATTAGTTACCCTGTCTTAAATGTTTCAATTGATCTTGCCATGAACCTTTAAATAGCTATGCTGAGAGAGAAGTGTCAAATATTAAAAATAATTATGCTGAGATGAAATAATCACATACTCTTCTAAAAACCTCTAAGTCTAGGCTGCCCGTCTCTTGCATACTCCCATGCCACACAAAACCCCCTCGTGGTACAGAGCATTCGTTCAGCTGCCACGTTTGCTTGTTTTCCTTCATCATAATGCTCATCATCGCAATTTTCTACAATGTTAACCCAACCGTTGGGACCCAGAAAACACCACAGTGAGTGGTCTTCACGTTGTGAAATTGCGTCATCTTGTGTGTGTGTGTATTGTTTTTGTTTGGCGGGTTGTGTGGGTTGCTGTGAATTGAGGCTTGGATAATCTTGCAATTTCTCAAAAAGATGTATGGCGTTTTGAAAAGGAGAAACAAAAACACACACACACACACACAGACATCCACAGCCCAGACAATAGTAGCCTCCCCATCTCCCCACCGCACATCCTCCGCTGCCTCTACTTGCTCATCTACCACAATAAATGCCCCAGAGGGGACCATAACAACCACGGGCAGATACCAAGGCAATGAAATGTAGCCCTGGTGCTGCGGCTCCCTACACTTAGGCTGCAAACATTAAACAGCTTTAGCATCGTGCGGAAATAAAACTCCGCGGGGCTGTGCCTTCGCTGCTGGTCTACGTCCTGGGAATTTTTGGTAGATAATTGGATGTGAATAATGCACGTGCATGAGTATATATATGTGTGTGTGTATATATCAAAACACACACACTGCGTGTTCTGCGTGCTAGCTCGCACGCTAGTGCGCACGAACGCAGGATTCGTATGTGCGCGTATTTTTAAATCATTTATATTAAGTTCACTTGCTTGCTTGCTTGCGCGCTTACGACCGTGCAAATCTTTCGGTCGTTTTTTAACCCACTTCCCGTGATCCAATCGAGCTGACATTTTGCACACAGGCTCGTTGTGCGTGACAATTGATTTTCGTGAAAAAATTTTCCTAAATTTTACACTTTTTAGGAAAAAAAAATTATATTTAATTACCAATTGCTTAATGGTGGCAGGCAATCATCTGACCCATAGGTTGGCAGCCATCTCAAGCCAGAGGACGAGAGGACTCTAGCCGCCACGCATATAAAGGATTTATAGTGAAAAACTTAGTTTTTACGGGTTATTTTTTTTATGTTGCAAATGCGTGGGGCACTGCGGTGATAATGATCAGTGAGCCCAGCGGCCTCGAGTGTGATGTCTCCGTCGTGACTTCTGGGCCTCCTCTAGGTTTACTTAGCTTAAAAATCGACGCTCGGTACAGCGTGGTCATCATTGCCACAGGGGGTACAGGCACATGGGTATCTCACAATCACCCCCCCCCCCCACCAACACACACTGTTATTGCATAAATTGGAACGGTCCCGGGTGACCCCGATTCGATATTCCATTGTTTTGTTGTCTCGTTTCCCCCACCCCCCATCCCGTTAGTATGGTTTCGTGTTATTTTTTTACACATTTAATTTGTACAAATTGTTGTCACTTTTTAACCAAAATGTAGCATTCGCGCAGCATTTGCCCAATACATCTTAAATGTATCGACTATCACGCGGACGATTCGCGCGCATGCGTCGTGAGCGCAAGGGTCGATTATGTAGTTGGCTTGTCGGTGCGCCCTTACGTGCGTAGAAATAGGCAGCGGAGCGTGCGTGGTGTACATCAACATCGCTGCTTCGGGTGGCACGTCGGCCAAAGTGACGCGCTTGCTGACAGCTCCGAAAGTGCGTCCGCCGTGGAGATGAATTCGTTGAATTCAGCTCGTGTGCAAGTGACAGGAGGGACTGTTGCAGCACAGGATCACGAGAGACTGCAATAATGGCTTGGGGTGGCATTCATCCAGCAGTGGATTGATTTACTGATGATGATGATGATGACAGCACCAAGCCCAGCAGTCTGTATGGCTCAATGGAGAGAGTTGTTTTTTTTTAGAGTAAATGTCAACTCCATTAAATGCTTTTACAATGATAATAATGTGACTGTGCTCTTAACGCACAATGCAAAAGGATGATGATGATGAAGAGGAATATGATGATATGGAAGTGTGTACTGGAGCACTCCTGCATAGAGGCGCATTTTGTTCAACGCTAATTAAATAGATTCATTTTAACTTTGTAAAATACAATTTTACAAAAAATCTCCCGACAAGCGCTTTGGCACACGGCCAGCAGAGAGAGTCTTGCCCTCATTAGTGGTGAGAAATCACATCCTGATGAAGCTTCCCCAGGGCTGTCCAGTTTTGAAGTTATTATCAATGCCTTGCAGGGGCAAGGGGTGCCGACCAAAATATCGGGGCTTGCTTCACAAGCTGAAGGAATTGGCAGCGTGCATGTATCACATGTGTGTACTGCATGTGGAGCTTCGCACCCTACGTTAGCCAACTGCGCTAATCAGAGGTGCAGGCGAAGGACGACAAGCTAAACACAAAAATCAGTTCTAAAGAAATGAATGTCCAATTTACCACGTAGGCGAATTGCCCCATGATGCTGGATGCAATTACCAGCGAAACGTCGTACTCAAAAATTGTAAATGTTGTGGTTTCACGCTTCAACACACCGGTGGGCTAAAGCAGTGAACTATTTGTCTTTTGATAATTGGTTCTTTACCCTTCTATCTGGCAACAAAACTGACACCTTTTTGCAAGGAGTCATGTTTGCATAGACCGCAATACCTGCAGTCATAAATACAAACAAAAGACATAACTCTGATAATGTGCACTGTCCTTGAAGTTGATTGGTCCACACCCGAGACAGCTTTCCTTCGAGCCTAGTCTCATATGGGTTGGACCAGATGACGCCAAAAGGCGCACAACTCAAGGACAATGCACCATCAGAGTATGAGAGCTCGGGGCAAGCATCTACACTATGGGGACCTCATTTGCCAGTAAAAATATGATAATTGGTTCTTTACCCTTCTATCTGGCAACAAGGTGTCAGTTTTGTTGCCAGATAGAAGGGTAAAGAACCAATTATCATATTTTTACTGGCAAATGAGGTCCCCATAGTATTTGTCTTTTGTCAACTTGACACTTTTTTTGCTGATTGGCCGTGTCGGGTGGTGGAGGGTTACGACACATTTATAAATAACGCGATCTAAACCCAAAAACGTTGATTATGAATGTCCAATCTCGGTTTAAAAGTCGCGTAGCTCCAGTGGCTTCCTAATATCGGAAAGAAGAGCGTTCCAGACTGCCGCAAGGAGCGCGCCTGAAAACGCGCGACGCCACAGTGGCCGTCGTTGTTCGATGGCTAGCCAAAAGCCGCTGTTGCGAGGATGACCGGAGTTTGCGCGATGGTGTGTCGTGATATTATCAAGCTTTATCTTTGAGACGAGAATTTCGGGGCCAACTGTGTTGCGGATGTGCAGTTCAGGTTGTGCACAATGTCAGAACCGATGGGACGTACGGCTCCACGTTTTTTGACAACCAGTTCATGTGGGGCCCGCGAGCACTTGGCCCGTTAAATATTCTAGACTGCGATTAACGTCATTAACACGGGGGGAGGCCTTCATCTAGCAGGGGGTGGTGGGGGGGAGGGGTCGTGGCTAATGATGATTCATATCTAAGAGAAGAGGCACAGCATGTTGGTAATATCAGTCGGAGAAGGGGAAGGTATTGAGCCTACATTTGAACAGGGGACTAGCAGCATGGGTGGCTGGGAGCAGGGAGTCCCAGACAATGGGGAGCAGCAGAGCAAATGACGGCAAGATGTTGTCCTTTTACCCCCGCTGCATTCGGACACACGGGTCCTTGTTGAGAATGTCCTAGCATGGGTGTGTGTGGTTATTTTAGTGCTTTTCAGTCCAAACGACACCAATATAGAATTTGTCAATTGTGCACGTTCGTGAAGGAAATAACCGAAACGACACACAGCGGTTATTTGTGTGAGAGGTATAATACCGATTACTATCCGGGAAAGGCTAATTGAACCTCTAATTATTTGTTGGGAGGGTCCTGCATTGGGATGGTCGGCCAATTCCTTCTAATGAGCGTTTGGCTCCGTGCGGGAGAAAAACCGGTGAAGCTGGAGAAAACTCACCGGCACATACGTGATCACGGCCAGCTCTCACACCTACAGCACTGGACAATTCCTGGTGCTCGCCCATACGAGTACTAACCAGGCTCTGGGGCTGCTCAGCTTCCGAGAACCAGTGAGTACTGGTGCATTGTATGGCCGTTCGATGTGAAAGGGTTACACAGTAGAGGCGTAACGATGCAGCGATTCGTCAATTTTTTATATCGATTGTGAAGCTCACAGCACGTGC